AGGCACGGGACCCCGGGCAACCACGAGACCCGCTTAAAAATCGCCACAGCCTGCTTTCTGTATCGTGGCCATAAGCGTTCCTCGTTCGGTTGGGCTCTCTTTTGCTGCCTTTTTATTTTCTGACCTTTTAAAAGTGTGAAATTTTTGAACATTCAGACACATCAAGAAGCCGGGGTTGTAAGATAAGCACCACAGTGTGACACGAGACTGGCTGAAATGCCTGCAAATGACGGTGCTCCCAATGCAGAGCTTGCAAAAAACCCAAGGTACCAAAATCGAAGCTACTGAACTGAAACGACCTTCTCTTCTGCTGAAGATGGTGCTGCCTTCACCCATTTGATGCTGGCTCAGGCTGTCTGCTTCAGATCAAGTATCCCAGTTCCTACCGTAAATACATTTTTTTTTGCACTCCCATGTGGCCTATTTTTGGTGTTGACCACCAGCAAAACCTCCGTTTTTATAGAACTTAAACAGTTAAAATGTACGATAGGCTGGGTTTTTTTCAGGATGCTATGAAAAAAAATTAAGTATCTACCCTTGTGCCTCAGAAAACTTAATGATTGCTCTTGGTTGCCAGAGCTGAGATCATTTTTTCATTGTGTAATACTGCAAAGTTCCCTCCTATATGTGTAAAATTGCTTTTGGTTTGGTGGTTTTGGTTTTTTTTTCCCCAAGTATATAGGCCAACCCCGAAGCAAATGCCTGTTGTAATAGACCGATAATCTGTTCTGGTTTTGCCACTCCTGTGATCTTGTTCAAAGTATTTCTTGTATTAATTAGATGACTTTCTATCCATGAATCACAGTGCATAAAGGGAACTATACCTTGGGAAAAAGTAATACAGAAATAAAAATTCATATAAACATAGGAAGCCAAAAATTACTCTTTTAATGGGATTTTAATCGCTAGGCGAGTTAAGCATTAATTCTTATAGTATGTTCCTTAGAAAACATACAAAATCTTTTCTGAGATTAGCATCAAAAGTAGAAGAAATTTTCTTGATGGCTCTTCTTATAAAGCCTTAGCTGCTTAAACCGCATTCTTTGCTAACAGATAAAAAGGAATTATTTTTCCTAAAACTTAACATTTTTAATATTATTAGCCCATATGAAATAAATAACCTACTGTCTGTCAAACTCAGCTGATACTTAGTTGGTTTTAAGTCTATTAATTGTCAGTGCTTGCACCTTTACTGACAATTTTGGTGTATTCCACAAGCAGACACACTGAATTAACTTGGCTTTCTTCTGCGGTAAGGCCCTGATTAGCGTCGAGGTTACTTGTGTCTTAGGCGGTAAAGCGACACACAGCCTTGAGGAGCGCTGAGATGCCTGTGGTGGTCCATACAGGCCAACACATTTGACTTGCGTCTTTTCCATCCCTGTCCCTGGTGGCACTTCTGGCCACCGCCACAGTTTGGTTCCTGGACCAGACGGATCTGGGGTCTGCTCTAGTCAGGTACCGTACGTAATACAGCAGCAGCAGAACTGGATCTGAAAGAGATTTACTCTCCATACAGTAGCACCAGGAACACTTAGGAGAAAAGCACTGCTGGTAAGACCTTTTTTTGTTACTAGAGACCAAGGTGGATGAATTATAGTTTAAATAACCATTTCTAATGGAATGCTTGCAGTACTTTACACATATGCTTTGGATTATATAGCTGAAATCATCATCCTAGGCAATGAGTCTTTTCTGTGATATTTAAGGCATGAGTAAAGGGCAAGAAAACATACCTACCACCCCTTGAAATTTAAAAAGCAATAGTTCCCACATCTCTCTGAGACTTCTCAGACAGAAGTATGCATTGTCTGTCCAGTGTATACATGGTGAATCAAATGTGTCCATGAAATATTGAATTTATTGTATGTCAGTGAAAGATTCTATTGTATGCAATGTAGAGTTGATCTGCAGACAATAAAGTCATCCTGTCCAGGGTGCACAATGATGCAAACAATTTGTGTAGTGCAAATAAACCATGCAGTTCATATACTGTAGGCCGTGTATGTCCCAGACATACCAGAGTCACTGCACATGTGCTGTAGCATCAACCAGCACCAATAGGTACGGTAGGTACTGTCCAGAATCTGTTGTATCTGAAGGCAGTAACAACACCTTGTCTAACAATTTGCCTGCCAAATGTCCAGAGGTCCCAGACATATAGCTAAAAGGCCATAGCTGATTTATGAAGTATTTGTCAACTTCCAAAAGCAGTGGAGTTGGCAGGTAGGGGAAACCCATAATTTTTTCTCCTGAATTTGCCACCACTTTGATGCATGCTCTTTCCCCAGACGCTTATTAAAGTAAGTCTGCACTCAGGTTTCTTTCCCTGTCAAACAGGGAATAACAGAACATTCCTCATAAGACCGACGTTGAACCTAATACAGTGGCTTGAGAACTTTGATTTTTACATCTAAGATGCTGCTAAAAAAGTCCCAAATATTCTTACTAATACTCTGGTAAATCCAAATTTTATTAGATTGCTTTGTGAAGCCCTTGTGAACATTTTTAAAGAGGCAGCTCTTGTTTTAGGTTGGCTGGCTCACCGGAGTCTTTTCACCACAATATTTACAGATTTCAGATGCATTTAAGGGAGGTGGTTAATAGCTGGAAGCTGTATGAGAGGAGTTACCAGTTTTACTTGGTATAGACCCGACTCAGCAGTCTTACAGCAATAATTTACATAATTTACACAGCACACAAGCTGTGGATTTGAGCCCAGGTCTGACTAATTGTCACTGACAGTGTGGAAGTAGAGACAAGAAAGTGGGATTTTGGAGACTTGAGACCCTTCTTTTGTCTGCACACAGGTGCCAAAAGATGTCTTCAGATTCGGAAAGTCTGCTTCCATGTTGACGTTTAGGTTTGCAAACAATAGCTTCTGTGTTTTCAGAGGTAAAGAGTTTCGAAAGGATTTGCATCTTTACAACAAGAGCAACCGGTACATGCAGAAGCCCTGGATGATGTTAGCAAGCGTTGACCAAGCGTTGACAAAAACAGTAAGCCAGCCTTGCTATGCAGATAACCCTGGCTTTCCACCACTCTCTGGAATATGCATGTTTGTGGGCAACCTTATATAGCCTCTTCTATCGCAAGACCAGCCCTAGCCTCATACTTAATAGCGCAGTGTTTCCTGTTCTAACTTACCTACATCTGTGCTTTTCCTACAGGAAGGCTTAATCATTTCTTTTATTACTACTTTTCCAGATTATTAGATAGCACAGTTTATCTTTGTTTTATTTCTTTTTTCATGTGAGGAAAACCCTTTCAGAATTTATATTTACTGCTATTGTAGCTGTCACACAGGCGTTTTATTCCTAATAGAATTCTCTTAATTCTTTACAGCCTATCACTGGAGACATGCAGGAATTAACAAGACATGTATTTATGTTCTAGTCTTCCTAGCCAAAGTTTTTCCTTATGCTTTATTAAAAATATATGAATAGTGTCGCTTCTCTAGTTACTATTTGAATGAAAAAACATAACCACTAGATTAGTCTTTAGGATTTCTAAGTTATATGTTAAAATCTAAAAATACTTCATTCAAAAGACAGAAACATTCTTCAAAATGTTTGTAATGGGACAGCTGTCTATAAATGAAAAAGTTATAACATTTAACTTGTCTGGCAACAAGTACAACAATTCAACTACAAGGTGTAAACAACTGAAAAATGTTTTCGTTATTGGTAAGCGCATAACTATGATGCCAAGAATATTCAAAGATACACTTCCAGGAAAGACATGTCTTGAAAAATAAGAGAGGAAACATTTTGGCTTTAAACAACTGCCCACATCAGTGGCAGGTTCTATAAACACTGGGTTTGTAATAGAGCTTCTGAATCTAGAGCAATAGCAATTTTACAAAATAATACCAACAAATGTCATCATGGTTTAACCAAAGAGGCGTGAATAATAGTGAGAGACCTCATGTGAGCTCAGATCTTACACTCAGCTGAAAGGTTTCATGAAGTTTAATTATCATGATGTTACCATTCTTCATTAAAACACCCCCTTGGTGTGCAAAGTGGGTTTTTTACTCATTTAGCTTACACAAGGCCTAGCAAACCAGGGAAGAATATATATACAATTTTGACTGGTGAAGCACAGAAGCCTTTACTGAACTGACACAAGCATGGAAGGCTGTGGCTCTGTTGCTCATAACCCCACACATTCCGCTATCAGAACTACCATCTCCCTATCAGCTGACACACAGAGTTCAGGGTTTGCAATGCACAGGGAAACAGGCAGAGATGGGGTCATGAAAAGTCTCCCAGGTTTTTCAGGATTCCAGCTTCCTTTCAAAAGAGATGCTTTTTACCCCAAACCGGTTCATTTCACTTACATGTAAGTAATCTGAGTATCTATACATACTAATCCTCATTTAAGTAAATGTCTACTCCCTCCCACTTTTTCTAAGACTCATAGTGTTATGCTCCTATTGGATTTGGTTCTCTCAAGACTTCGAAGTGACAGCTCCTGTCAGGTCAATATGACAGACTGCAGTCATTTTAACCTGAAACAGTTGTTGTTTTCATTACCAGAGCTAGACTCCTGTGACAAACTCTTGTAGGAAAACCGTCCAGAAGCTCTAGCAAATTCAGAATTCAGAGATTTATTTAGAGAGGCTAGAATTATCTAGCTTACACAAAACTCCATCTCAGGGAGCTGAACCAGCTCTGTGCCCAGACTAAGATGTTTGTAATTGAAAAGTGATGGCCTAAGCAGTGAGCAAAACAGCTTGCTTAAAATCCTATGTTATATGTGACAACTTGTTTCAATAAGAGACTCCTTTTGTCCGATCTTTCTGTCATAAGAAAACACTGTACCCAAAAAACAAATAAGGAAATCATCTTGCAGCAAAGGAGAAAAAAAGTAATTAAAACAAAGGCAAAACACCATATCTACTAAGAACAAGTGGATGTTTCACACTCAAATGTCAACAGTAGCACTTCTGCAAATTCCCTATATCATACTGAACATTCACTCTCAAGAGTGAGAATTATTGACTTGAATTGGTACACTGTGTTGACAAAGAGACCAAAATTACTCTGGAGGGTAAGATAAGAGTCTACTTGCCATTTAAGCTCATTTTGTTTGTTTTCTTCATTAGAACTTACTGCAGTTTGTCTCCTACAGAGTGTCTGTTGCTAAACAATACAATGCTTAATAAACAGTATTTTGTTTCCTGTGGTTTAGCTATGAGTTTTGCCTTTATTTCTTAATTCAATGTTCAAGAATTTTGATACAGTCAATAAAATAAAATGTGAAAGCAAGTCAGCCAGTATTTGTATCCCTTAAAAAAGAAACCCCTTTATAAGTAGAATACATTCTTCTCTTGAACAGCTCCTGTTGAAGGTTATGGTTGACATCTTTACGACAGTCAGATTTTGACATCCCTGTTCACCTTTCTGCAGTATTTTATTCTGATTCTATACCAAGAAAATACTTAAAAGCACATTTTTAACCTCAGGCATATGTTTAGTTTCCACTTTTTTCAATGAAATAATAAAAAAGCCCCAATCCTAGATTTAAGACAATGTTGAAAGACTTTGGGGAATATTGGTGAACCAGGGAATAAAAGCTTCTTTTAACCTACCGTTATGTTCAAATTAGCTACAACTTTAAAGTAATTTCTTAGAAGGCAAAGCATGAAGTACAAGAAGTACTTACATTGCATGATAAAATAAATACATGTCAGCAAATAAAATAATTTATTTGAACTGTTCTGCAGTTATACAAATAACATCCACCTCAACAGCCATCAATTTTGTAGGCATCAATTTTGCCGGTGAATGAATATGGGTGGAGCCCTTCACTCGTATCCAGCAAGCACCCTGTGTGAACAAGACTCTGCACTGGGGCATGAGATTTAGCCAAATAAATCTTTAGCAAAACCTGCATAGATGATTCTGGCATGCATTTGTAAATATGAGACAAACCTCATACTACCATCTGACTGTACTTGATGTTAGACAGTGATTAGCATCCCCTGTCAGGATGACGGAAGGGCCTCAGAGGAGAGCAGTGAGTGGAAACTGGTCCGCAGTCGGGGCAGGCGGAGAACCATTTCCTTGCCCACTGGTTCTCCCCAGGTGCCTCTGAGAAACAGGTATGAGGCTCTAGAGGTGGAAGTGAAGGCGGTGGATGGGGTAGGTGGTGACCTATCCACATCGCAGGAGGCACAAAGATCAGAAAGACCTCCTCGTTGGATTACTACTACATCCACGAGGAAGAAGAGATGGGTAATAGTAGTAGGAGATTCCCATCTGA